ATTTACTAATTTCATTTCTAAGAAATAAAAAATTAAATATATCTTATTATACAACAAATTGCTATCTGTAACTTATAAAGATAAAAGTTTTTTACTGTGTAAGTTTATTTTGAAATGACAGTAATGGAAGTTAAAATATTTATGAAAAATATGTTTCATTTTTATTAAAACAAAATACCTTTTTTTAAAGTTTATAAATATCTCTATGTACAATAATAGATAAAAACAAGCATAAAAGCAAACCTTCTTTGACTGCTTATGTTCAGCAACTGTAACAAAATATGAAGAATGAAATTTTCATAATTTTTATATTATGATAAAATAATAATAATTTTAATTAACTTGCCAGATTTTTCACACTATTTTATATTATTGATTTAGAAAGATTGATTCATACATCTTATGAATAATATTATTCATAATTATTCTTGCCAAACAAAACAGTAAACTGTTTTCAATGATAAAAAGATAATCCTGGAAAAAGCTTACTTTTCTATATTAGTAGAATACTGGTTAATTTTTATAATGAAAATTTTTTAAATACTGCACTTGCAATCGAATATGTTTTGGTTCGTTCTTAGACCAAAGAATTAATTGTTCGAACATTGTCTCCACATTTTCCTTATCCAAGAATGAATCACTTTTAAGTGAAAGCTCAGAGCTGTCTTCCTCTTTAATATTTTCTTCATTAACTTCAACAGTTTCATCTTCCATTTCTGCACATGTGGACAACCACTCTTCCACTTCGCTGAGAGCAATATTTCCACCCATTATTGCTTGAATGCTTTCTTGTAATTTACAATTATTTAATTGCTCTATATTATTTACATTGGATAGTGAATCATTTTCAGGAACTTGTTGCAACAGTTTGTTCCATGCATTTTTAATAACACAAGGCGTAATACTCATCCATGTTTGATTTAGAAGTTCGATACCTTCTTTTAAATTGTATTCTATAAAAAATTGATGAATCCCACCAGGACAACTCAAAATTAATTGTAACATCTTATGTCGAAAACTACTTTTTATATTTTCAATTATGCCCTGATTCATAGGTTGGATAAGTGATGATGTATTTGGTGGTAAAAAGATAACGTTAAACCTTTCATCCTGTAAAACTTCTGGTGGTAAACTATGAACTTTAGAATCATCCACAATTAAAAGTACTGGACCACACGTACCATTCTCTAATTGATGTTTCTTAACCGATGTTTTAAAATCATTTTCATACCAATCCAAAAACAGCTTTTTATTCATACAAGCATTTGTTTGAGATTTGAAGACAACTGGTAGATGATCTTTGCAATTTTTCAGTGCTCTTGGCGATGCATACTTATTAATTATTAGTAAAGGAAGTTTATGAGTGCCACTAGCATTAGAACAGATTCCCATTGTGAAGCGGTATTTTTTCAATAATTTACCATCAACTTTTTTTCCATTAAGATGATCCAATGTTTTTTTAGGAAGAGATTTCCATGCCAATCCTGTCTCATCCATATTATAAAGATTATCAAGATCAATGTCTTGCTCATATATAATATTTTTTAAATCATCTAAAAATGTTGAAGCTGCTGCTTCATCATTTGTATCTTCATGAGTATGTGTATTATTAATCCTATAACGAATTTTGAATCTAGATAACCAGCCTTCACTTGCTCTAAATGTTATTGGACCCCCTAATTCTTTGTTTATGTTTGTTGCTTCTTTACGAAGTAATCGATTGCTAATATGATCACCCATTGTTCTTCTTTCTAAAAACCAAGTATACAGCCGACCTTCTAATTCTTCATTCATTGGTCTTCGCATTCTTATTTTATTAGAAGATCCTGCTTGCTCTGCATAACGACGTAATTGTATAGCATTGTATTTAATCTTGCGGACAGTGGCTACATGTAAGTTATAGAAAGAAGAAACTTGTTTCGCAGTTGCACCTTCCTCTAAGCGTTTCAAAATTTCTAGCCGTTGTTTCAAAGTCAACATATTTCTCTTGCTACCTGGCATGATTGTTGTTGTTTTTATAGTATTATACAAAATAACTTTTTGTTTTCTTTTGTTTAATATGTTTTTAATTGTGTTTAAGTTCTTCCAGATTTACCCACATAATTTTCATTAAATTTATTTAATTAAGTTGGTAATTCTTTTTAATTCATTTCATACTTTTGTTGTAATTACATCGATTTACACTGAAGTTTTTATACTTTAACTGCCACTAACTCGTTAAGTGCAAAAAGTAGTGGGGACAATGCGCGTTAAATTATCAAGTGGCTTTTTAGACGCCCTTAACGTGTATTGTTTGTTCAATTTAAAATTTTAACGAACACAGCAAAACACGTAATATTTTTAGAAATATAATGCGATGTTAGAATATAAACTGAAAGAAGATGTTTAAACTTTAAACATAATTGTTTTCATTTAATATTTTGCTAAAACAGTAATTAATCCATGAAATAAATATAAGGACGTACTTATATACTTTAAAATGTATTATTAAAAGTGTAAGCATCAACTGTATCAGTTTGTTTAGAGATACAATAAAAGTCATGAAGGGCTTTTGGTTAAGCTTATTACGAATAGATTCGGTTCTGTCCGGTACAAAACGCACCAATGAAATATTCGTAACGTAACTAGACTTGCTGATATTCTTATTGTTATTTGCTTCAATATTAAACTGAACAGATAATAGATATTATACAATTATTGTTCGTTCAAGTCAGGAAATTATGTGTTTTCGGTACTAATGCATTAGTTAGGTAAAAAAATGTTAACAAATTACAATATTTTAATAATGAAGAGTTAATAATTATGTACACATTTGAAGATAGAGTTTCCTCATCTGTGTATTGTATATGAAGGTATGTGATGGCTTGTCATGATAAAGAAGAAACCTTCTTTAGCCGAACGGAGATTATCAATTTTATAAATTAAATATGTGGTTGTTAACAACGGTTATTCACTTTATTAAAGTCCATTATAGCAAACAGACATGGTTTAAAATAGTTAATAAATATTATATTATACAGTTAATAAATATGACAAAGGGATCATAGGTTCATTTGCTAAGAGTCATTTAGCGATATTATTAACTTCAGAACTTTTTATTTAAAGTCTTCGGTTTGTGAGTTTAAAGAACCTTCCCTTAAGAGTCCTGGATTAATCTTTTAGAGCAGAGGTGTCAGTCTATCCTCAAACTAGTGACTCCAATCAGTGGTTCCCCAACTACTATCTCTACCCTACGAATGCCTGAAACCGTGTACGTGAACAGTTTTATGAAACGTTTGTGAGAGAGTAATTCTCCGCGAAGGAAAAACCCTACAAAATTCGCGAGCTCCCAGTTCAACACCTTTGCTATATGCAAAAGAAATGTTCATACGTTATTCTTATACAAAAAAAATGTATTTAGGGATTAATAATTTAACAAAATATACATATATAAACTTTTAAGTAGTATATAAAATAAGTGTATCAACTTTTAGCGCAAAACAGTTGCTATTTAAATATTATGAATTTCTGTGTATCACATGATCACATTACATTTTTTTGTTCATGGTAAATGAACGCGCAAAAAAAAATGTTGACAGAAATTTATATGTTTGCTTATACTTTAGAATTTGTTATTTTAAATGCCATTGATAAATAAACCTATCAGTATTGTAGGTTTTGATAATATTATTAATTATTGTCAATATTATTTTTACTATGTAAAACATATTAGTAACATAAAGAAAGGTATATTTTTGCACACTGATACAAAATATAACGTATCATTAACACTCTAGTGTTAAAATACGTTGATTTTGATTTCTGCTTTGAGCGTGAGATTTTTTACATCAAAACGAAGTTTCTTGAAACGTGTCTTTTACTTTTATCGGTTTTAGCGTTGATTCGCTTAGTTGTTTGTGCTTAAAACCTTGCCCTCGTACAGTTTTCACTGTTCTGCTTTCCTTCACTGATCGTTTCGAATCATTACGTTGCAAACTTGTTGCACGTTTTCTTGGTGAACTTTTAATTTCATCATTTTTTTCTGAGGAATTACTTGCACTATTAGTGCTTCCAGATGCAATACCAGAAGTATCAGATTCCGGCGTATTTCCATTTAAGCAGCAAAGTAAACTGTCAGAAAAACCATCTTCGTTTAAAATATTTAAGTCGGACTCTGATTGTTCAAAATCTCCTGTACGTGAAGTGAAACTGAGATCAACGGGACTAGCAGTTAAAACACTTCTAGACAGCAAATACTCTCTAAACGTACTCGTTATAGACATTGTACTTTGTTGAGTAACTGCGCAACAGTCATCACCAATGGATGTAATAAACTTCTGTTTCTCTTGTGCTTCTTTGTCAAAATTTTCTTTATCTTCTAAATCGATGCTTTCTCCATAAATAATTTCACTGCCTATACTATTAGGTCTATGAGATTCCTCCAAAATTGAAATACAGTTTATTGGTCCAACCATATCGAGATTCGAACCACGTACGCTGTTAGACACATTTTGACTCCAACTATTATTAACATTGGCAAGGTTACAGAGGTTTGAGCCTGAAACCATCATTACTGGTTTTCTGGACCGTGGTGTCATCATTGTTTCCTACAATTATAATGGAAAATTATTTTAATCTTTATGGCAGTATTTTTTGCTTTTAAAAATAACTAAAAATTATTAATTTTTTTATTATTAAAGATAATAGCACATACATACCTGCATAGCTTTTGTCATTTTAGTAGCACTTTGTGTAATTGGACTCATGCTTTTATCATTGTTAGTAATAGGAGTTAACATATAATCATTAGTGACTAAACTTTTACGTAGTAGATTTGATGGTGTCGATGTATGAGTCACATATACATTCCAAAGTCTATTTTTGACTATAGGAGATAAATGAACACATGCACTATCAGAGTTTAATTCCATTTTTGATTGTACCAGTGGTTTCTTGTTGTCTTCAAAACACTTAGAAGAAATCATATCTACGTTAGCTGTTTTAGACATTGACAATGTAGGTTCTGAACTTTGTCTTACTAATTCATTTTCTCTCGTTTCATATAAAGTATTCTGAGAAGAATACATATCCGGTGGTTCACTGAGTTGCCTAGACAATCTCATGATATTAGATACAGTATCGCTATCGTGTTTTGAATTCCCAGTTTTAAATCGTTCTTCGTGCAAAGAAATACTTCCATCGTCAATATTGGAAAATATGGAATCATTTATATCAGAACTTTCTTTATCTCTTTTAGATGAATTATTTAAACTCCAATCATAATACTTTTCATCTGGTTTTTCTTCTTTTATATCTGCGAATCTCATTAACATAGCCTTTCTTTTGTCTTTGTAATTTCTCAATGTAGGAGTATTAAGACTACCAGTACTATTACTAATATGTTTTGTATGTAGAAGACTACTGTCATTATTTGTATCACAGTTTTCCATGCTAAGTTCATCATCTGATTTACTAAACAGAACTTTCGTGTCAAGCATTGACTTTTCTAAATTCTATATATGCATAAGTGTGCAAATAAAATATGTTAATTAAGAAATGTGATTGTAACTGTAACCATGCTGTTAAAAAAGAGATTAACATTAATTGTAGAAAATATTATCTTATATCTTACCGATGATAACATATTTTCTTCGCTACTAGATCTAGTAATATTGCAACCTATATTAAAATCAATAAATTTTTTATGCCCCAAGAGCTTTTTCTGAAAAATATGTTTCTTGATTGAGTCTCCAAGACTCTTAGTCCTGATATTTTTAACTTGTCTTGGTGTACCTTGACCGTTCTCTTTGTTAAATTGTTTTACTAGTCTACGTTTTTTAGCTGACTCTGGCATTGCTTGTATATGAGCATAAAGTTGAGCTAAAGCTGCTTGGGTATCTTGAGTAGAATTTGCTTTTGCTGTTAATTTATGATCTACAAAACTAAATACAGTATGAGCTGTACCTGTTGTATCTGGTATAGATTCATTTAGCTGGAATGATACATAATAAAATATATTACAAGTACTTGAAAACGTTAAGTATGATTAGTTAATTCAGAAAGAATTACTCACATCTGTGTTTTTAGGACTCAACAATTTCCTTTCTTGTTCTACCCAGTATGCTCTAATGTCTGTAGCTAGTTTTGGTGGAATTTCAAATAAATCAACTCCTTTTTTAATCATAAAGGCAACTAAGCATGATAAATTCTGAGAATTAATATGTAAAGCTTCCGGTGACAGTTTTCTTGGGCACATCAAATGTGGAGTGAAAAGCGTTGCAAGTGTATCACAATTCATTTTATTATTACATTCAAAACTAGCTGTCTTATTAAGTAACGTTAAAACATATTTGAGTAATACTCTATTCATACGGGGTAAAAGTAACAAAAGCAACTGAAGAGATCTTAATAACCTTGCATCATTGTTGCTCATGTCAGAACCATATAATTCTAAAACATGAAATATATAACTTAACTTTAAAAGCAATAATAGAAAATAGTACACATGATATTAAGAATAAAAGGTATGTAATTATTTAATGTTATAAATATTTTACCAGCAATTTGGCAATGTGCAGGATAATGCAAATCTGACAACAAAGGTTCTGGCAACTCTGCTAAAAATCCTTTTAATACAGATGCACAGTCATGAACACTGTATTGACCATCATTGAGATTTAAAGAAACGCCTTGATACATTGTCATCTTTAAGTCTTGTTGTCTTGTTAATTTACCAGTACGACGAAATATACCCTCTTGTATAATATCTTTAAAATCATTGGAAAATATGATTAATATATAGAACAGTTTTTTTTTTAAATATTATAAAGTTAATAATCTCGCAAGTTTGTACAAATTGATATAATGTACTCTTACTTTGTTCCTGGGATAAATACTCTATTAATTGTTTCACTTGATTAATTCCATCTTCAGACAAACTAGCACCTTCTATACCTTTTTGTAAATTAATTGTTGACTTAGGCTTCTTTGCGAAGCTCAAAATACCCCATTTTTTTAATTTTGCCTTTTCATTGATACAATCATTGCTATATAATTAAGAATTAATTTTATAATTGAAAAATTTGGTTTTATAGAAAATTACTCGAATTATAAACTAATATTATGTAAACACTTGTTTTAATGGAAATTATCAACTTACTCTTCTGTATTGAGATCCAATTCAAAAGACAAATGCATTTTGACAAGAGTATGAAACTGTTCTGGATTGACTTTTCGCATTCTAAAAGCCAATTTACCATCTACATTGTCATTGAAATCTTCCATTGTCTATATTACACGGTAACGACAATTTAAACACGTTCTGACATATTTGAATTTCACACGCAGGCTCGTTACCGTTTTATTAACGGCGGTTATTTTCGCTTTGTCTGAACAATTTTTCTATTATAATTGTTACGTTCATGCAGTCACAAGTATACTTCATTTTGTATAAAGTAATTAAAATAATACGTCAATCTACGAAACACATTTTATGACATTCATTCATATTTGAACAACATGATCATTCAACCAATCCAATTGATATTTACCACCAAATATTAACGGGTATTACAAATCACAGAATATATAGTCGACATAGTACGTAAACTCTAACTAGGTAAGGTAACGGTTCTTATACTTTAGTTACACTTTAGATAACTAGATACATGTATTTAAGTAGTAATTTCCACAAATTCTTCAATATGACACAAAGTTTATAAATGAAGAAACTGAAGAGATAACTGAAGAAAATAGAAAACTGTATTTGAGAAGTGTATATAATTTTATTTATTTAAAATCCATTTTCGTTATCTCAAATATGTAACTAAATATCTTTACACATTTCAGAATATATTTACTTACATTTATAAATATTTATAAAGATATTAAGGATAATTTGTTCTGTAAATGTTCATAAAACATAAATTTCCATACATATGTGCACTGATTTAATAATAATTAGTTTACGAAAAATCAGAGTGTCGTTTCTGTAGTTCTCCGTGGCGGTACTTTCGATATGTAATTTCAAAAAACTAACGAGTCTATTTGGTTTTTCAACAACCGATTCCTATAAATAAAAAATCGATAAATAAATGACATGTCTAAAGCAAGGTTACCTTAATAATGGATTCTATTAGCGAATGTAAGAACTAAATGTTCCTTCTGTTTAAATGAAATGTAAAATAAAACTGCCACAAATTCGCTGCTGTAGCACCATCTGACATTTAATAAGTTATAATTTGTAAAGGCTACTATGCTGATCGTGCACTAGTTAAAATATATTTATGTAAAATAATCTAAAACAAACTACAAAATAAAATATTTCAGAAGGAAAAAATAGAAATAGGAGGAGCTTTATTATTTTTATACATAATATATTCTAAATTTATTTTTTTCGAATTTCTATATACATGAAATAATCCTGTTTTCAAATCATTTTACATAATTTTCATATCTTTCTGCAACGACGTACAGGTATTTTTTACAACTGCGTAATAATAAAAATCTAAAATTCATATTTATTAATATTTAAAAACATTATATAAAATGATTTAAAAAATTTATAAAATGCATAATTATGATAAAACGTCAATTTTTATTAATCTTTTATAATAAATTCTAAATCCGAATAAATTACAAATAATATGCATTACATTTTTTAATCTTTTTCAAATTACTAAAAATGTATAGTAACATAAAAATTGATTTGGTTATTAGAGAAATTATCAATATCATACCAAATACAATTATATATTTAATTTGACATGCAAAAAGTTCATATGTGATAAAAATAAAAATGTATTATTTATAACTAAAAGAATAATTTTCAAACGTTCTCAAGTTTGAACAATTATTTTAACAAATGGACTGACTCAGTTCGGTATGTTATTTTAAACAACGTGAAACGTGAAGTATGATTGATTGCCGTCAGATTTAAATAATCAGTTGGCAACAGTTCAAACGGATTTATATTTAAATACAACGTAAATATGCCAAATACTACGAATGACAGTTCCATTTTTAAATGACTAAACGTCAACATGATACAGTTTATAATTGACAACTGACTGAGTTACGTTAATTTACTTCCAGTTTTATGAAGATGAACATTTTCTATTCACTACGTAACATTTAATTAAAATTTATTTATTTCAATTGTCCAAACGATTTTTTGTAGTTTCGAATTAAATATTCGCTTAATGAATATTGCGAAAAAATAAGAAAAAAAAAGTTGATAGAAGAACTCGTAATAACGGAAAGTGAGGTTGGCAGACTTAAAACACCTGTGACGATTATTAGTTTAATAGAACGTGGAAGGGATAACATGGCTACCGTCTGGTGACGTTCGTTCGTCGTCGCCGTCGCGAAATCAAATGCTCCCAAAAACATCTGGTAAACATTTCTCGGTGTAAGTTCCGTAGTTTTTTCGTGGAAAACGCATATTATATTTAGTGAAAAGTGTGAAGTACGATGATGAACATGTGGAAAGTAAGGGAGTTAATGGATAAGGCGTAAGTATGATTAAGTCAGTTACACGCGATCTAACCTTGCTTTTACTTTTTCCAACGCACTCTACTCCACTTGCTTCGATACACTACACGATTTATCTTTAAATTCTCGATTCATTGATAGTCACTTTTCTTAATTATTTAATAAACCATTTTATGCCTCTTCAAGTTTGTAATTGAAATTTATTTCTTGCATTCAATAAAAAATTTTTAACTCAAGGTTATTTTAAACTTATTTTCATACAGATTTTTATTTCATATAGATATAGGTTCATTGATTAAATAAATTATTGGGAAATAATTATTTGATCGAGTATAAGTTTCTAGGTCAAATAACAGAGAACATCTTTTTACATGGTGCCAAGCAATGCTGTACTACTAATAAAAGATAAAATAATCCAGTTATTTTTTCATGCGTTTTATTAGTAACAATCTATATATTATACTCATTGCCATTTTTTTAACTTGTCTTATTCCTTTTAATTTCTATTATGTTTATAAAATTTAATCACGATTAGTTATGCATTATTACTGTAAGCAGCGATTCTTTTGAATATTGTTTACAAAATAATATTTATAAAAGGTATTAAACAAGATAAGAATATAACAAATACTTCCTATTTTTATATAACTTATTGCAACATGTTTGGTTATGTAGAAAAAGATGTTATATTTACGTTCACAATAAATTCGATACAATCGAATTATTTATTTCATTATCTCTGTCAGTGAACTTTCGTTTTTAAAACGATTATTAAAACTAAATTAAAAAGTTGCATTAATTTTTCCTTGGAAAAAAATATAATGAAAAGTAAGTTGGCCTTAAAAAACTGGAACTGGTAAATAAATTGTCTAACAAGTTTGAAAACAGGTTACTTTCCGTACCTTCCGTATACGATTGCTAATTCTAAAAGTGTTACATGTTCAATAGTAAGGAAATGATTTACATCGATGAAATACCTGTTTTCTTTAATAAAACTACTTCAATATAATCACAAAGATATATTGGTAATTGAGGACAGAAATTTATAAATAAATAATACATTTTTCTCTCTTACGATACTGTGTAGTGAAATAATTAATTTAAGAAACCTTCCGATTTTTTTAACAAATTCATTAATTTTATTTTTGTTTAAATTTCGTTCGAGAGAAAGTCACGCGGTCCCGCGTGATTTTAACACCTGTTGTTAAATTATGCTTTCATATGGTTCTAGCCAATGCGCGAGAAAGATATTCATGAAAACTGAAAGTGGAAAGAATGTCACGTTTGGATGAACGTTTTGGCTTCCGTTTTTTATGGGTATCGTGGGGTGTGTTTAATATATTACGGCACCGGATTTTACACATACATTGTGTGTACATGGGGTAGTGTTGTGTTAAATAGTGGTTCTCAAATATAAGTATTGCTTATATTGTTTTATATAATATATTATGTATTATTAACACGTTGATCACCACGAAAATGTTGAGCGTTTCGTTTAATATTATTTATTCTTTGATAACAATGGTAAATGGTGTTAGAATTAATTATTAATGATTTGGTGTTGTAAATTTTAGGTTATATCATTATTTAGTTACTTATTGCACTAAATATTTTTATTTGATATCAGTTTTCTTCTTGCAATTGTTTTCAAGCGATTCGAAAGCTCTGGTTATCGGTGACCGTCGTGTTAGTCAACCTGATGTTGTTTATTGTTATATACATTATATATATTTTTGTATTGTTATAATATTCTCTAGTCTTTTTTGTCATTATATAATACTTTTTTATTACAAGATGTAAAGCCTAAATTACAAACATGTGATTGCTGTTTACATATATTATTTATTTTAATAATAGTCGCAGGTTTCTTTATAATCACGATCGGAAACACGAGGTTCTTTGCGATCCGTGGAAACCGAGAAGCGGAAGAACACTATTATCTCAAACAGTGCTTTCTGAATACAAATGCAGTCCACAGACGACCATGTGAAGATCCTGATTTAAAACGTGATTGTTATTTCAACTGATACGCGATTCCCACGAAGAACTTTACCTTCGAACATTTATTTATTGCTTGATTTTACATTTTTTTCAACAACAACTAAACGTTAACAATTTTATTACACATTATCCATTTACACGGTTATATTACCTTTGCTATAAACATAAAAATGCATCGATTGTATGTATAACTTCGTTTTCTTTTTTATAATTAATACATTCATTTTAAATAATTTGTTAAACATTGAGAAGGGTAAGTTAAATAAAGAGAATTTGTAAAGGTTTTATATTTGATTAAAATATTTGTTTATGCGACTATAATGAACGCATTCATTTTTACTTAATTTGGTTTAAATTATATAACTATTTGTATAAAATGAATATAAGTTATGCGAATGATTATATGTTAATTATTACGAGAAATAATTATTTCTTACACTCGTACATTTGAGAGAATAGTTTTCACCTTTAGGCAAGCGCCTTGTTTCGAAAGCGTCGTCGGAACACTTCGATGTCACACTATCGCTTCTTATCAGAAAAATATTCAGAGAAGATAAATATGTACAAGATGTGATCCGAAGAGTTTGCATGTTCAGCTAGATAACAGCAGAAAATTTAACCGTGAAAACGTGATCCCCATTGCAATGTGGATTCTACACACAGTTAGCAACAAAAGTATTCGAATGTTATGCATGCTTAGACGCAATAAATGTTTCATAAGTTGTTTTCATATTGCTAAATATTTAAATTTTACTGTGTGTATATACCATAAATGCATGAATTGTTTTAATAAATAATAATATACGGTGTAATAGTTTTTTTAATGATAATTTATTTCTTAGTTTCTTTATTTCTTCTTGTTAGATTGTATCTATTCATCTTAGTAAAAATTATTGTATGTTCTTCAAGAAGAGAATTATCGACTTTTTCGCAATCAATATTAAGTATACAAGTTTTAATCTTTTTTGTAATAATTTTGGATGTACATTTTTAATGGACTACTACCACTCGTTAAATATTTTTAATGTAGATAATGCAATTTTTTGAAAATTGAAAAGAATTTTCCATTCCACTGTAAGTGCAAATTTACATTGAAGATAATAAATTGGTAATAGCAAAATAGGTTTTTGCTTTGATCCGTAGGCAATAAACACTGTTTCCTATTAACACGTTTCGTGTCACCTGGGGCGTATACGGCCCACTCTGAATTTTCCGTTCAGACCGAAAATGAATTCTCATTGAAAAACGAAGAACTTTTTAAAAATTTATTGTAGAGTCAAATATAAACATCTTAATATCATGTATACTGCGTTTATTTAATTTTATTTAATTGTAAAAGTGTGGATCGTATACTCTCCATACGGCCTAAACGGAAAGTCTTAAAAAAACAGTCTGAGACGGAACGTGTTAAATTAAACTAGAAATCTTCGTCAAGAGTCTCACTCGTCATTGTATAACAAGGGGTCAACCCTCTATAACCTCGTATGACTCTGAAGTCGCACACCAATATATTGGCATTTTGTTGATTTATTTAATTTCTTACCGCAAGGTGGTCAATGAAATTAAATAATTAATTAACTTAAATTTTTGTACACTGGCTTAAGCGTTCAACGTTGTTGTAACTTTGAAGTTACATACTATATTCGTTTCAATGAAATTATTAAAACTATTGAATATATTGCAAATTTATATTTACAGGTTGATGTTTGTTAATTTCATATCATATAAACTTATTTTATAGTCGTGAAAAAAAAATTCGGCCCATAGGGTTAACTCTGCCTTGCGACTTATTTCATCTTGAACATTTCTGCTTATGCTATTTAATTTTGCCATAAATCTGTGGACACAACTGTTATAAAAAAATTTTGGTTATGATACGGCAGATTTATAAAATATTTTACAAAATCAAGCCATCAAGGAGTTAACGCTAGACTTACCGAGCAGTCAAATCGACTTCATTTTATTTTTTTGTGGGGATTATAAGAGTCTGTTGAGTTTCTTATTGATTGATATTTTAATTTGTGCATTACTAAATCAAGTTATTTGTTAATTTCTCCGAGAAGTGCCTATATTTTTCCAACGATTGTAAAGAAAAATATCAGAAATGAGTAAGTTTGATCTGTCTGTTTTAGCGTTAACTTTAAGTATTACTTCGCGCAGTGGTCATTTTGTATATTTTGTGGGAAAAATGCGCTTAGACGATGCAGTGTAGAAATACTTGTTGTATTACAGAAAAAACGAAATATGTGACGTATTAATATTTATTAATACACCACACAAAATACAAAAATACACCACGAGTCTGATTCATTATTCTGTGGGAATAGGTTAAATAGTCAAAGTAATTTGTCTAGACATTCGTACGGAATTGCTCGAACTATTCGTAATGTTTCCACAATACCTACTTATTTGTCTAATAATGCATCGTCCAGAAGGTTTCGAAACGCGATGTCACGACACTTTAAATGCATTTTGTTTCAACGCAAATTCGCGACTGCATACTTCTTCAATTATGATAATTTACACTTTTATCTGATGTACTGGTAACCCTTGCAAAAATCATTTGAATAATACGAATAACAGATACATACGCCGGGGAAAAAAAATTTCGCGTAAATAAACTGATAAACCTGAAAACCTTGTTTGATATTTCTTAACCTGCTTTTCGAAAAGTAAACACCTATAGATAAATATTAAACAACGATAAGAGTAAGTAGCAGTCAAGTTTATCTTCCCTTTCGAGAACTATATTTCATTTTAAACGTTTCTTTTTTGGGAGGCATAATTTCAAAGGGGCATAAATTTAACCCTTCTGCTGCGACGCTCGAATACATCCGAATCGGAATTGTCTGTTGAATTTAAATTTAAAAATCTGTTACCGTATAGTAAAGTTTAAAAGAAAAATAATGTTATCTGTAAGATCTGTAATAAACAGATAAAATACTAAAAATATCAACTTTGACCTTTTTATGGATTTACGACACATTTATAATAAAAACTTGTAATCTAGTAGGGCAGTTAAAGAGATAAAGAGAAAGTATTGTTCTCTTTTTAATCAGTTAATTGCGTCCGACGAGTATACACGTCATCTTAGAATCAAGATAGTACAAATTCTTTCAATGATCAATTATTTATATTTTTATATAAACATGTAATTCTTCTTCGTTTTGCTTTAGCTATTCGTCAGAATATATTATAGATGCATTCGACCTTCGTTTAACAGGTTAAAAGGGTGGGGAAAGTGGATTAATCAAATTTCGTCGCGTATGTAGCAACCAGGGGTTGAAAACAGTTATGACATCGGTTTTGGTTCTTGAAACAATTGTGGAGAACCGTAATAGAATCATAATTGTTATTAGATGTATCGGTTCCGGTTTCGGATTCGGTTCTACGATATCAGTTTTGTATCGGTCCTATAATTGTTATTTTTTGAAATGCAAAATAAAAAAATAACAGTTGTAGAACCGATATAGAACTGATATAATATCCAATATAAACCAATATAGCTCAGAATCGATATACTTACATAATAACAGCTATGAATCTATTTCAGATCTCCAAAACTGTTTGAAGAACTGAAACCGATACATAACAGTTTCAAACAGTTATTTTCGGAACCTTTTCAATACCTGGTAGCGAGAACTTGCATACATTATAAATATATTAATATACACTTTTAATGAAATCAGTGACCGGAATATGGGGGTTTGACCTGTTTAGACGCGACTCCATGTGGGGGAATGGTTCTTACATGTATCTAGAAATATCAAGCAAACCCTGTAATGATAATAATAAATCCCATGCTTATATTAAAACGGTATGATCGCAAACAGAATTCTATAAAAGTCATTCTTTTTCTTTTGCCGAGCGATATCGGAATTCTATAAAGTTATGTCCACGCTACTGGAAACTGAAAGCATGAAAGTATTGTGTTTGAGCGGAGGCGTAAAATTATTACGCAATTAGCAGGTGTTCGTTCGTGCGATCTGCACGCAAACAGTGAAAGTAATTTTACATCGGAGCCAGTGGCAACGCGATACGCGTTGTTTCATATGAATTATGTGATCACTGGCAGTTATAATTGTTAACTATTCATTAATGAAATGAAATCGGGGTTTTCAGGACCAATGTGGTAATGAATTACACAGAAACGGAGGCCAAAGTTCGGGAAGCCACAAATGACGATGCGTGGGGTCCTACCGGTACGAATTTTACTTTTTATTATAGTATATTTTATTAGATAAATATTAAATAAATGTTTCATCGAATAAAATTTTATTAAATAAATAAATACATATCAGTTTAATTAATGAAATTAATATGCATGATATAAGTACTCAAACAAAAATTAACAATTAAAGTCAGTTAAAGTCAAATTGATTTACTTATTTAGTTTTGTATAATAACTTAAAAATACAACATTTCACTAGACATTTGTAAAGTTCATTGTACGTAATTCCACTGTCAATAAAAATTTTGTGATACGATATATTTAGAGTTTAAAATCCATAGTTATATAATTGAAACAATGCAGGTAAAGATTACGAAGATTTCAATTTTTCGGGCAGATAATTAGTTGATTACGATATTTTTTAATTGGCAAAAAGAAATAAGACAAGTTTGATACGATAAATTTGATTTAATAATTTTATAGAGCATTGAGTGTAGCGATAAATATTGATTGTTTTTGTAAAATAAATTGTTAAATATTTTAATACGCAATTTTTTTATGCATATGTAATAATGTTTTGCCTACTCCTTTGTACTTTTATCCTTCGAAGTTCGGTGTATAGTGAAATTAATTGTACTGCTTGCATTACTTCAGGGGCAATGATGCAAGAACTGGCTCAGGCTACATTCACATACGAGCAATTTCCCGAGGTAATGTCCATGTTGTGGAAACGGATGTTGCAAGAAAGACGAAATTGGCGTCGGACTTACAAGGTATGTTCATTTATACTGTGAACGAATTTAATCGCATGTTATTTGAAAATTTATTTCTCATATAATTTTTTTTTATTAAAATCAATTATAATAATGTTTTATTAGTAGTCGAAGATATTAAAAATTGAATTTTACTATGATTTCTGGTCACCTTTTATATTATCCTTTCATCCTAAAACAATTTTACTTTTTCTTTTGCAGTCTCTTTTACTTTTGAATTACCTGGTACGTAATGGTTCGGAAAGAGTGGTCACATCGTCTAGGGAACATATTTATGATCTCAGATCATTAGAAAATTACACTTGCTTTGATGAATTCGGAAAAGATCAAGGAATTAACATAAGGCATAAAGTTAGGGAATTAATTGACTTCATACAAGATGACGATAAATTAAGGGAAGAGAGAAAAAAAGCAAAAAAGAACAAGGACAAATATGTTGGCCTATCCAGTGAAGCAATGGGAATGCGATTTGGTGGTGGTGATAGGTGGACGGATAGTCCTAAATGGGGTAAAAGTAGTATAGACGCATATAATGATTGGGATAATCGTAGTAAAGGTTTTGAAGATACAAACAACAGGTATATTGCACAACTAAATTAGATAAAAATAGATATAACACGTATTGTTTGTTTCATTTTTTTTTAATGTTCTTTTATGATAGCGATGATGGTGAAAGAGAGGATTCAGATAACGATGTTCATCCAAATCCAAAAAGAGGTGGCAGAGAATATAGAGATACAATGGAGAACGCAGACCATGTTAATAAAACCAATACTGTATCAACTGCTTCCACAAATGCATCACCAGCGCGATTTTTACGAACTATTAAAAAAGTAGATTTGGGTGCTGCTGCAAATTATGGAAGAGAACAATCCAATGTAAGTAAAAGATACTAGTCAATGGTTATAGTTTTTATAAGAGAAGTGTGAGAATATTGAAATCGCTTTAGAAATGATGTTAGGTACAAACTGTGACATGCATCTGATATTGTAAAACCCCTATGGCATTCCACAGAATGAACTTTCATTTTTGAGAAATCTGAATTTAAAGTTCCGTATATTTGCTAGTGACTCATTGTTAATTACAAGACTAATAACAACGTGTAGTAATTATACTGGATATCGCGATCCTTTACTCTCCCATGGGAACTTCAACAGCAATTTGCAATTAAACTATTTATTTCCGATCCATGATTCCTTTCAGACTATTTACCTCCTCAATGAGTAGAATATGTGCAGCAATACAAAATTTTAGTCCTTTTTTAAGATCAAAATTAATTTTTCAGTCATTTCTTACATCTTTTTCTATCAAATTGAAAGTGTAGAATCGCGCTGTGGTAGTCATGACATCTTATTTTGGAAAACTCTGTGCATTAAATTTGTATCCAAAATCATCTCAAAACTAATTTTTACACCTTGACACCCTGCTTGTTATTAAATATAAATAACTATAAATAAAATTAAATTTACAGAATGGTATATCTGGATTGCAAAATAATTCCCTGTCTTTGCCTATCAAGCAAAAGAATAAAAATGATATTTTTGATTCTCAAAATGAGACCAATACAAAATCAGTAGTTGATGATGATGAAGATTTTAATCCAAGGGCAAATGTTCAACCTACTGTACAAAGTCAAAATGCGAATACAGACTTTGGAGATTTCACGAGTGCATTTGGAAGTCCTACTGTCAAAACGAAAGACAGTAATGATGAATTTGCAGATTTTACGTCTGCGTTTAACTCGTCTTTAACGATATCTAATCCTTCAGTACAATCACAATTGCCACAGGCACAAATAAATTTAATGGGATCGACAATACCAAATATTAATAGTTCAGTGATTAATAATGCCAATAATACTATGTTCATCAGTACACAGTCATTTAGCACACCTTCTTTAACGACTATGAGTTCTGCAAATACGCTTCCTCAAAATCTTAATGCTAATAGTAATTTGTTTGATAGTTTAAATCAACAAGTGCTCAATGATCAACAAACATTGAATAATAATACTGGTATGTTTTAGATAATTTAAAAATAATATTTAATTGTTATTCGCTTTAAGTAAGTGTACAAATTCTAATATCAGATTATTCTTTCCGTAGCATCTTCAAATACGGATCTTCTGTCGGATTTAGATACTTTAAATTCTGGTGGTCCTATGGACAGACAAACGAACAATACCAATAATTCCAATCTTTTTACGAACATGAGTTCTCCTGTTGTGGCTAACCAAGGAGGTAAACACTTTTTTATTAATGTCAATACGTTCAAGATTTTGTGATTCAATAATGTTTATACACGTACATGTATATATAAGGGGTACCCATAAGTAATTTTAATTTTTAATTAAAAACTGAATATGATCATTTAATTATATTCTTTATTTGTCTAATCAATTATATGTTCACCATCATTATCTATAACCTTTTGCCATATTCTTAGTCAATTTTCGATTCCTTTCTCGTAAAAATCTGCTGGTTGTGTCAAAAAATATGTTTGGAGGTAAGTCTCGACTTCGTTGTGGTTTCGAAAATTTGTATTCCTAAGGTGATGCTCCATAGATCTAAATAAGTGATAATCTGATGGCGTTATATCAGGTGAATAGGACGGGTGTGGTAAGACTTCCCATCCAAGTTGCTTTATTCTTTTTTCTTTATTTTTTTGAGCTGTTCTTGCTGAACGGGGTTTAGTGTTAATATGTTGCAATATAACCTTTTTTCTGTTGACTAGAGCTAGTCTTTTTTTGACAAGTTTGTTCTATAATTGGTTTAATTGCTGATAGTAAAGGTCAGCATTAATTATTTCTCCTGATTTTAATAATTCAAAATAAATTATGCCTATGGAACTGTTCTACCAAATGGACAGTAACATTTTTTCAATGTCAAACCCAGTTTAGGTGTAGGTATAGCAGGTTAGTTTGGGAAAAGCCATTGACTTGATAATTTTGTTGAGAAACGGATCATTTTGCTACCTAGTCAATAGTGATGTACATACTGTTTGTCTTTGTTTTTTATTCATATCTGATAAAAGGTGTGGAATCGAAATACCTTGCCTATGCATCTTTCCAATTTTATGAATATGTCTTTGTACTATTGACGAAGTAGCACAAAATCAGTTATTTCCTACACGGATAATTTAGGATCCAATTTTACCAGAGCTTTTAAGGCATCATTATTGAATTCATTAGGTCTTCCACTTCTAGCACCTATCATTCGGGTCTAAATCATCTTTGGTAAATTTTCTAAACCAACATTGTGACACTTATTAATCTTCAAAACGACCTTGTATATATTACCAGTTTTTGTTGTTGTGGTGGCTGCATTGAATCCTCACTAATAAATATATTTAAATCATCTTAAATTAACTCAGCTATTTAAAAAAAGATTGATGACTTTTGGGTACCCCTAATATATATAATATAAATGTACATGTATGTATATATGTATATCTATGCACATCTAAATTTTCAGTAACATTAAAGCTTGAAATTATATAAAGTACACTTCACTATTATTAAATCATACAGTCAAGAATCTTGAATGTACTAACATTTTATGTTACATTTAATTTTAAAATCTTTTTGTTGTATTGTGTTTTATGAGTTTCTTCTTTAAAATTTCGTGCATGTTTTATTTATTCTTCAAAATATTTTTAAAGATAATATAATGCCCCCAAGAGAAACTTTCCTTACAGCTTTCGAGATGGAAGAAAGCACCACTTCAGCTGAAAGTCTTTCAAAACATGCTGCGAATCAACTTTTGGAAGAATTATGTTGTATGGGTCCTATCAAAAGTCGTAATACTTTGGAAAAGCTGAAGTCAAATATTTCTGAATATATTCAATTTTTACCTGGTCCACTTACGCCACAAAAATATTGCAATCTTGATTTTGATTCAGAAATTGATTGTATGTTATATGGAAGAATTTTAGAGGGAGTTATTGAAAAGTTTGACTATAATTGGCCATTACAAAATGATACATTAGATCCAATAATTAAACAATTAATAGTTGTTGATGGTGCAACATTACCAATTTTAGCTGAATCTTTATCTGTCTTCACATATGCTTTGAAAGAAGCTGAAGACGAGAAGAAAATTCACATTATTTCAATAATGTTAGAATTATTAGTAAAAAGTGATTCTTTATTCTCTGGCATAATCAATGTATGCAAATGTCGACCACAAAATATAAGGCAAGAAGAAGAATTAGATCAAATGTGGCGTGATACTGTTCAAATTTTAATTTCGTTACCTAATCGAGTAGCCAATAAGTTGAAAAATAAAACATTAGATACTTTTCTACCACAAATATATTTTAAAATTCTAAATTTTCATATTTCTCGAGCAATATCTTTCATAAATAATGGGTTACAATATGGTATTAATGCCGATACTAAACCGTTAGCAATGTTAATCAGCAAATTAATCATCATTTCAAAGTCAGAAAGTTTATTACCTCTAGTCACCATCTTAGCAGAATGGTGTTTTGAAAATAAAAATAATGAACAAAGTTTAATACAAAATATATTAAAAACATTAGATACAACAAGCATAGAACCAATAGCAGTATCATTTTTGATGCATTGTGATGTTAAGTTTGGAGTTTATTCAATTTTTGGAGATACATTGTCGAATTCAAATTGGCAATACACATTAACAACAAAAATTCCGTTAATGTGTTATTACAATGACGAAAATTTAATAATAAATCTTTCTTCATACTTATCACAATTTTTAAATCGAAATCGTGTTTTGATTGATTTGTTAATGAAACTGTTAGACGTTTGGGGTGATAGAAGTGCTTTGAATCATACTTCTGTGGAGCAACATAAATATATTACAAAATTGCTTGTTATGTGTTTGAAGAAATCAAAGGATTATTTAAGTAGAAATGAAAGAGATAATATTCAAAGATTGTTATTTTCCAGTATATCAGTTCATCTTGAATGTACGCATATTATTTTACGAGCAATGGGAATGTGTGTAGGTGAAATTTTTACTAACGAATTATCTGAGTCAGAGGATGCACCAAAACTTACCTTTAACTATGAAAGTATGCCGACTGAAGTGATAGACTTAGTTCAGTCCATAAAAGCATTAAATACGTTAACCAAAAACTCAGAAACAAAAGACCATGTAGAAATGAGTTCTTTAATTCCTGATAATATTCAATTCGATACAGCAGGCGATAAAAAATTATATGAACTGGGCCTAGAATGTAGCCTTTTACCTAAGAAAAACATTAAAACAAGTGACAATAAATCTGAAGACATTTTTTCTGTAACAAGTTTACATAAATCAGATACTTGTCAACAAAGAACTTCAAAAAATAATAAAATAATTGAAGGCAACAAGGAGGATGACTCAGAATTAGACAGCGATGATGACTTAGTGCAATATGATATGTCTCATGATACCAAAGTTACTGAAAAATTGCGACCAGCTTATTTACGAGATTTGCGTGATAATTTAGTGAATGAAAAAAGTTCCACAAATCCAGATATTTTTTCAGAATCATTAGAAGTCTGTGAGGAATTAGTGTTGTCACAACTACCAGGCGATGATGTATCATTTGCTATTGAATTACTTGAGCTTCTTGTTACTCTTAAAGACTCTTGTTATGTAGAAAACTTTGACGTATTAACATTCAAATCTTGTGTAGCTATAGTTACAGTTTATCCTAAAGAATGTGCTGAATATTTATGTAAACAGTTTTACACAGGAGTGGACAAATATTCTGTAGGACAACGATTATTTTTTCTAGATATATTAGCAGAATCAGCAAGAAAATTATCAAGTATTCCGCTTATCGAAGACAAAGACTGCACACTTCGCAAATTGGAAGTGAAACCAAAGAAAAAAGAAATTTCAAATAAGGTATCACTTTTCATTGATACTGAAAAAAGTAAACAGTACAAAGTACTTTATAACGATGACTTTGATGAATTTGAAAAACCTAATAATGAAATTGTGCAGAATTGGCGAGAAATTGTCGATAAGAGAATTGAATTAAATACCAGAAAATTTGCACATAGCACACAGACTCCTAAAATGTTTAAAAATAAATTTGGAAATGTTGCGTCCTCGTTTTTCTATCCACTGTTATATGGTTTTGGTAAACAAGACACTTGTTTAAACAGTGGGTTGCAAATATTTTCAGACCAAGAAAACATTTTGTTGATTCGATATCTAAGAACATTGTCTACTATAATGGTATCAGCACAGAATTGTTTATTGGCTTCTAAAATGGGAAAAGAGGTTTTGGAATTATCATGGATTCTGCGATATCACGACCAAGCAAAAGTTAGAATAGCAGTCATGGAAAATATCATAGCTGTATTAATTGCAGTACCGCAAAATGCAATCATAAACGAACTATTTGAAACTGTTATTGAAATAAAATTATGGCTTTTAGATTTGTCCCAGAATGTAATTACTGGCGATCATGATAAGGAATGTAGAATGTTAGGTGCCAAAGTAGTATCTTTGATCGATTCCATTCTAAGTTCTACATTTCATTAGTAATAGTTGAATCGCATGTTTGCCCCTTAATTTAAAAAATTTTAGTATGGTTAAAAGAATTTTTTAATATTTCTATTTTTTCATTACTTATCATGAACAAATAAAAACACACAAACACAATATGATATATAAAACTATAATACGTCATTTTTCGAAGAATTGTAATGATCAAATACATTTTACATTAAATAAATAAGGAACTTATTTGTGATTACTAACTTCTACATGTTTTTACCTTTTTAACATATTAATAAGTTAATGTAACATAAATAAGGGAATGTAATAAAGTATTAGAGAAAATAGTGTATTATTACAACTAAAAAATGTCACATTTAGGATCAATTGGATTACCGCCTGTTACAAATCTTCTTACTCCTACTACAACCAATTCCAAAACATCATACCAGATATCGAGTAATACACCTGTACAAGTTGGATCTACATGGGCTGGTTCAGGATTGAATATAGACCTCGACAATATAATGGGAAGTAAAATCAAACAAGCAGGACCTGCACCAACGATGAACCAGCTGGCAACTAATAGTCCACAACATCAAATTAAACTTATGAGTAAGTAATTTATGAAATGTGTAAAATTGATCGATTTATTTATTAATATAGTTTAAAGAAAAAATTTATTCTGTAGTAAATTCTTCAAAATCTAATAATGTTGGTCTACATTAGAACTAAATTAAGTATATTAGAATTTTATTGTACAACACAATTCTATATTTTATGATTAAAATCCATTACAAATATTATTATTAGTATATTAAATTGACAAAATAGTATAATATAATATAATATAATATAATATAAAAATAATAAATTTATTTAATCTTAGTCTCTTAAATTTTGTAGACTATATTGTATAATATATTGTAATTGATTTATATAAAAACAGATTGTATAACAAAGAAAATGTAATTATTTTAGCATCACCAACAATGGGATATGCATCACCTATGATTCAACCACAACAACCAAAACAGCAACAAGCAAATCCAGCATTTTTCCCTGCATTTCAATGAACTTTTAACTAATTGAATGCTGATATTAGTGAACTCAAAGGCATAAACTGAAGTTAAAATAAATTTTCTATTTTCTGGGCGGATAATCTAATTATATATACAGGGTGCAGCTGTAAACAATTACATAATATAAATGTGAAAAGCAAAATGGTCAGTAAAATATATTGCATAATCATGTGTTCACGAATAATTGAAAAAGAAGTATTTTCAATTTTTGAATTTTGCATAATTTTGAGTTGAATAGTTCGTTAATGTTTCACTACATGAATTTTATTATTATTACCTTACTTTTGTCAATTAATTAAGAAAACGGAAAAGCAATTTATCGAGGAAGGTAATACATATACTCGCGACAAGTGCTACATAATAAATTACAAGACTAGTTGAAAACTTTAGAGCAACTGTATAGATTATTAAGTTTCAATATATCTGCGAGCATGTATTTGTCAAAGTGATACTTCTAGATAATATATGTTCTCAGTAACATTCCGCAATATAAATATTGCATTTTTGTAATGAATATTTATATTATTTGCAAATTATGCGGGAACAAATCAAGACGGACTTGTCCTAAACGTTTTATACATAATGTAAATTGAATTTTACGACGAATCAGGATTATGCCTTACGTGTATAATGTATTATAAGAATGTATGCATGAAAGTGACATATAGAAACATGTGGGAATGTAGTATACTACTACTTTTATTTACTACTGAATATGAGACATTCTGTTAAACGTTATTTAATGTTTCGAGGGAATGGAGAATGCTTTTACAATGGTTGAATATAGTTAAATATAATTATTGCAGCCTTTAGAAAGCTGCGCTTACATTGTTAACTTAACAATGTAAAAATCGTTTCACTTTTCTATTATGAATATTTAATGTTGATGATATTCGTCTATAAGGAAGAATAAACAGACGCAATAACATCACTAATCATAAGTGCTTCCCTATTATAATTAATTTTGCACGAAACAGAATTTAGTATTATTTATCGGAGTTATATGAAATTAGTACTATTTAAGAAAAAAAATAGATGAATATGAAAACATGGCAGGACACGAGATATTATTTTAAAGAAAAAGCACAGGCACAATATCGGCGCAACAGAATGTTTCCGCGCTTTAAGAACGTTCTACTCAGCATGGTGATTTAATAATATTATGTGTTTATGGTCCATTGTAAACTATTCGAGGAGTTTGTAGCTATGTAATTACATCACTACAAGAAATTTAATCATCCTTGTGATTGAATGATATTCTAGAAGTTTTTTAAAGTAGGCAAAGAAAGTAAAAACTACTAAATAGCACTTCCTTAGTTACTTGTTACTAACAATAAAGAAATGCATATCTTTCCGAATAATTGTTTACATAACAATCAAGAAGAAAAAAGATAATTATTAATACTTAAGTATTAACTATATTAGATTATTAAGTAATATTTCCTTTATGTGTGCTGTTTATTAGCAATGATTCCATAAATCTTTGCTGCATGATACTGAAATATATTATGGAATGGTTTGTTATAGAATACTTAATAATGAAAAGAAGTTGCAAATTTTGCCTGCATGCTGTATTCGTTATTTTTTATTTGCAATTGTATACATATCTTACGTATATTATATATTTCGTAGTAAAAACTCTTTATGTGTCAGTTATATTTTAATATAATGAATACTGTAAGCTTTTGTTATGTATAATATAAAAGAAGAAAAATTTAGGAAGTTATTTCAGAATTTGCAGCAAAGTTTAATTTTGTATTTACGTATATTCTTAAACAAATGATTTTGGCGATCTATTGCTTTTATAGAACATGTATTATAACTACTAATATACTTAGTACAGGTGTCCTAAACACATTCTACATGTTTAAGAGTATTTTACATCAGGCAGTTTTATTGTTAAGTTGTTATCAAATCCCGTTTGAATTATTATAACTTGATATGGAATTATTACTTACAGGCTTCTATACGAGTATCAGAGACTGAATCTTGTAAAGGAAAAACGAATCCTTTGCATTTTCCATTATTTGAGCATTTTATATGAAACAAAATGTTTGATGTAGATGGGAATATATTTTTAAAGTATTAAAATATACATAGATATGTGTATCAGTATATGTACATACACATGTGTGTATTATTGTACAAACACAAACAAGTATAGTCAATATGAGTAGGCGTGATACCATCATTGAAGCCGCTTTGATATACAGAGGCATGTTTACAGTCTAGAACTTACAGAGGCCTTTATAAAGTCAAAATGGATAAAAATTAGAATCGTCTAAATTAAATTACTTCTTTTTTTGTTAATGAATGAAATTTATAAACTTTTATGTAAAACATTGGTTGAAAGTTATATATACTTAAAAATTAATATCAATTTATAGTTGACGAATATGAAAGAAAAGTGATATTTATCTCCTTCAAATATACTTCACTAATTTCTGTTTAAGTACGAATTGTATTTTATGCTATTTGCGCGCGATGATATTGTTCATTGTACGTTTATCGAGTATGATTTATAAATTTTATTTAATTACACTTTGTTAATGTCATTTATGTAATTGTTACAAGTATACTTATAAGTTTGTGATTGTTTATTATGTACATATGAAACAAGTGACAAAAATTTACTAGTTTATGAAAGTTTCAAAAATGATTTTTATTGTTACATCTTTATATGTGTATAGTTGCGTTTATATCGAAATATTTTGCAAATAAGGAGTATTAGATTGAAATCATTAAGCAATACATGTATACTGGTACATATCAATGTTAATCGCGCGTTTAGAACATATAGTTACATAGGCCTTGCCGTTCTATGTATAAACAAATTATTATTCCTCTGATACAAAATTCAGGATAGTCATTATGTCGCTTACGATACATACGTGCGAATGATAACAGATATTTTACTTGTCGATTCTGGACTGAATATTGTTTACAGTAGTCGCGATATTTGTAATTATTAATTCAGGTATTTATATTTACATCACAGTTTTATCGTTATTAAATGCTCATTGGTGCTGGTGTTAATACGAATTATTAACTATTTTAATTTATTTCACTTTTAACATTATAAGTACCTTTTCCCAGTATTGGCAGTATTCAATTAATTATCCTTTTGTATAGTGCTTTCCTTTAAAATTCAAATATAATTGTGTTTGCTTAGAAATGAAATATTTCATCATATTTTAGAATAAAAATAAATAAATAAATATATATGTAA